TATTTCCCTTGTGTAAGCTTCCCCCTATCCCTTCTTCTTCATCTTTTTTGACACCGCAACATTGGCTATTCTGGCGGAGCACTGGAATAAGTTAGAAGGTAAACTTTATTTAAAACCAAACCAACCAAACAAAAAAACCAACCCAAAACCACAAAACTCCAACCCCAACGCAAACAGGGAAGTTTAAGGTAGGAATCAGAAGCAAACAGTATCTCTCTCGCATGAAAAAAATAACTGTCAACCAGTACCTGCCTTGCAAGAGAAACAAAGACGGTTTGCCAAAGAGGTCTTATAAATGTACAAGATGCTGTCAGAAATTGTTACAGGAATGGCAGAAAATAAGATTATCTTGGATTCACAAATAGATAAATGATAAATACCTATTATAAGTAGATATGGCAGTGTATGTATACTACCTGTTAAACTGCTACAGAACTTTGAGGAGGTGAAGAAGAAAAAAAGACAGAAAAAGACGATTGAAAGTTAGAAAGCAAAATCCCAGATGGCTTAACAACATCCAGGTTTAGGACTGATGTATGCGTTCTTCATTGTTATGAATGTTTCTGTAGCTTGTAATGAGATCCCACTACCGTTTCCTTGCACTAAGAATCTGGAGTGGGAATTTCATGAGGAACTGATGAGGTTTGTCAGCTGCCCTCCAGAGGTTATAAACACATTGCTTTGTTCAATTAGTTCTACGGTTAAAGAAACAGTCACCTCATCCTTCCCCAAACAGCAAATTACACCCAAAGACAGCAAACAGCTGGAAACACTTATGTTTTTAATTTTCTTACTGGATTGCTTTTAGGAGCAAAATATTTATATTTCCAGTTCTCTTATACAGATCCTCTATGGAAGCATTGCTGAACTAAGATTCAGTCTCTCATTTAAAAAAAAAACAAAAAAAAACCCCCAAAAAACCCAACCTACAATTATTTTTATATGTCCAATTTGTTATCAGGTTTCAACAATAAAGTCTTATTTTTATGGATCAGCTGCAAAACTTTCATCATTTACGTGACTATTCTGACACTAAACATACACAGAAAAGGGAAATAAATTTTCCAAAATAGTAACCTAGATAACACAGACACTTGTGGATATATTTGAATAGTATGTCTCTTAGCAACCACTGCCAACCATTTCAGACTGTATGGAATAAGCAGGCTTCAGAAATGAACAGTTACACCGTTAACTGCAGCATTTCATCAAAACATAGAGATGAAAGCCAGAAACACATCTATATTCAAAAAAACAGAAAGAAAAAGCAAGTAAACAAGAAAAAGCTTGAAAAATGCCCATTAAAAAAACTGTAAAATTTTTTCATATAGGCATTCCTACTGCCAAGAAACACTTCATTAAAGTTCCACAAAGTTAAAAAAAACTAATTTAGAGAGAAAGCTGATTTCAAAGACTGTCACACTTGTGTGGTCAGTGTCACGAAACACCCGAGATGCTTCATGTTCTCAAGTCTCAAATGGGTTTCCTACGTAAGCGATCTGCAGTCACAGTTCTCGGGCGTTACTTCAGACACACAACAAATACAGCCAGAAGTGGAAGGACACCCCAGTTCCTACAGGCTGAACACAAACACCTATACACACAGACATATATCTACTTGCATGTATATATAAGGCTCCACAGAACTTTTAATAGAAAAATGTGAACTTTAAATTGACACACTGTGCGTAGCAATACATAAAAATGCATCACCTAAACACATGGCAAGAACTTAGGAATTCTTAGAATTCTTTTCAACTCTTAATTATTTTATCGTACATTTTCAGATACGTAGGTTTCAAAATCTCCTGTTTCCCCTCTTTCTGTAGATACCATTCTTTCATTCAGTAGCTTTATTAAAGACTAACAGGATTAATTTTAAAAAAAGTAAATCATTCTTGTTTCAGACCCATTCTCCTGTGCAAAACTGTGACATGTTTGAAAGCCCTGACAGGGTGCGAGTGAGCAGGATGCCACCAGTCATAACCAAGTTCAGCAGCACGTAACAGGAGCATCTTGGAATTATTTTCTCTAGATTTTGAAGCAGAACACAAGCATTCCTTCTAATGCAATCCTGCTATATCTAAACAAAATAAAACCAGCCCTGGAGAACCTGCTAAGAGTGATTACTCCCCATGCATATTCTTTCATCTTCACCAGGTACCGGAGAATTAGATTGGTGCACCTCCTTGTTCAAATCAATATTTAGATGAAGAAAAAGGAAATTCCGCCACAGAGGTTTGATCTAGATGAAAAATGCTCTTCTATTTAGAAGATGGATAAAATAAAACCGTGAGTATATCCCATTGCTTTTGTAGAGTGAAGAAGGTCTTGTGATATTAAGAAGGAAATTGAAGTTCCTTCTTCGAATTTAAGGATAGAAATTGCTCTCTTATCTACGTTTTTCAGGTATTCTTCATACATAAAATACACAAGGACAGTAAAAGCACTCTTTTTATTGCCAGAGCACTATAGGAAAAAACAAAAGCTCCATGACAAAAAGGTGAGAGAAAGGTCTTCAGAAATGCTGAGTATCTCCTGCCACTCCTAGTTCGGCTTTTATTCAAGTCTCAGCCCGCAAGGAAACTCCCTTTTCTAACTAGGTAGGCATCTTGCCAAATCTCCCTGATTTCAAAAGCAAGCTATGGACAGCATTAAACATGAAGCTCTTTCTGACTTTGCACTTATACAGAAATTCACGATGGGAGCAGAAAACCCTATTCCTGAAAGCTGAAGACAAAATTAGTATCTGTGGAGTTTCCTGGCTTATCCCAGAAAACATCATCTTTCAGCCATCTCTGCTTTGGTGTCCGTCAAGGCCTGGATAAAAATTCCTCAGCATAGAAGACCCACTGCTGTAGTTTCAAGTGAAATAACAAAGCACACAAGAAGCCTACCTTGTACACGAGGAGGAGAAAGACGAAATACATGTGAAATACCTGGCTACCAGCTGACCAAATGACAGAGGCCATCTCTTCCAATTAGCCATAATTATGGCAAGCAAACTACAAAAACAAAGCTACCCGTTCTTTGTCAATATTGTTTATTATTGATGCTACTTCTTCTTCCACGCTTTTAATAGAGTTCAAGCTTTTTACGGCCTTTTGATTTACTTCCTTTCCAACCACTATAGCATCACTGTTTCCAGGACTGCACTGGGAATGGGTTTGTTAATGAACTTCTGCCCCTGTTGCGAGCTCTCCAGCAGAGATAGAAGGGAGAAATACTCTCCCCTTCCAACAGAAATATTTTAACAATATTAAGACACATTAAAACTGGCATTTAAGTAGCCTCTCTAGATAGCAGCGTTTTTAGACTACTTGATAGCAAGCCTTCCATTTTTCAACAGTTACTGTTTCAGCTCCCTCTCATAACTAGTAAGTCAAATATTTTGATCAAGGTATCAAAACTGGAGCCAAACCAACTATTTTATATATCTATAGCAACAGAGACTGACAGAGGAAACACACACATGTATTTCCCCTCCCTCTATAGATTGAAAACTTCCATTGCATATGCTTGTTTGGCCTTTTTCTGTTCCAAATAAAGTTATGCTTTAAAATTCTAAACAAAATCTTTTAAAGACTTTTTTTCAAAAGCAAAACAAAACATTAAAAAAAACAGATCAGCTTACCTGCAATACAAATTTCTGATCTATGTACTTTTTGGCAATGCTGGGTTGAAATTCTTGGCTTTCCAAAAATCGTATGAAAAACTCATATACAAGCTGCAAATGGAAAAAAAATATCCATGGTTTAGTTTATGACTTGATTACTCTTAATATTTTGAAGTATTTCCCTAAATTCTTTAGCTAGAACATAAAATACTTATTTTCCCACAGAGCAAAAGGTTAAAAAAGGAAAACGATTTTTCTCCTTTATCAAAGTGCTATCTCAGAGTTAGAATGAACTACATGAGCTTTTTAAGTTAGTTTTGCTTATTTAACTCCAGTCAAAGACATTTCATCACCAAGAACAGGCACTGACATCTTGTAATGCTTGTTATCATCTTGTAAAGCTTCCTAGAGTAATTGGAAAGCACATTTAAACTGCCCTCTGAACTGCTGAAGTCACATCAAATACAGACATTACAATTCTGAAAGGGTTGGTGAAACAGTGGGAAATATTTAAATTAAATTAGAATCTGCTTAGAGTAGCATTCTACTACAACTTGAAACACAGAAGAAGAATACAAACCAGAATTTATTCAGAAGTTCCTAACTTACTGTAAAGATTAGCCTCAGGGCTGGAGAAAACCTGCTTACTTTCATGCAATTCCATCTCTGCCTGAACAACAGACTTTTCATTTAGTGGAGAAAAGGAAGAGTACAAAAACCAGGCAAAAAGGAGGTGAAGTGAAACAGGGACTGCTGAGGCTTCGTAAGACAGCAACTCTGACCTGTCACTGATCAGTGGAGCTATCAGCTAGCAATTCTCTTCGCTGAACCTTTTCAAGAAGAGCAGCCATTGAAAACTTTTTCCTTTCTGACTTCAGTGAGTATGAATATTGATACTGAAAGGAGAAAGGAAGCTAAAAATTACATTTTAAACTAATTTTAAACTTTTCCACGCAAACATCCAATATGCTGCAATACTGCTGCTGCTGTTTTATGTCAGTGTTCTCTCACTTCTAAAAGCAAGCAATAGGAAACCTAAAAGGGGGAGAGAGGTTTAGAAATATGACGTGGTAAAGTGACAGCTTACATAAGTAATATTAAATCATCAGGAAATCAATTCCATCAGCCTCTGACAAATACTTTGGTGCATTTCTTCCTGACAATGGTAAATCATTCACTGGCTAAGAAATTCCATCATTTCCATGTAAGTAGTGACTTTTAAAACTATAACACTTGTCTCAATGAACGTAAGGTAAGAGGCATGCATGCCTGTGCTGTTTCCAGGCAGGCAGAGCTGATAAGAGCTGCCTCGAAGCTTCTAAGATTTTTATTTTTTTGAGAACTGTAAATATAAACAAGGGCTGAAACTTACACTTCAACAGGTTCTATACCTGAGAGCACAAGAGCGAAACAAACTGCTCACAGGCAAGGATCGTACACGCCAACTGTCCAATACAATCCTCATTGCAAGCTGAGACCAATCGTGCTCCTTTGCTCACAGAAACTGCCAGGCTCCACAAACTGTTACTCAGGCAACCTTCTTCTAAATTTACTAGTGGTGTAAGTCATTGTCCTGACTAACAGAGACAAGATCTGCATCTACATTTTCTATAAATGAATTTACTGCATTAGGATCAACGATGCTTTCCCCAAAATCAGTTTATGTTCTTTGTTCAAAATACCTTGTGCTGACACTTGAGGTACAGAGGAAAGGATGATACACAGCTTTGAGCAATCATCCTGCTACAAACACCTGAAAGTAAACCTCAATCTGGGAGAAGAAGGAAGACTTACACGGGGATGTAGCTTCTCATTCATTTTTCTGATCAGTTGCCAACACCTGTGTACTTTAGTATGAAAACTAAACTACCCTTAGTAAAGCAAAACTGCTAGCAGTAGCATCCCCACAATGCTCTTGCTGAAGCTGCTGAAAAACACTTGTGCATCAGAGCAGTTTGGAAAGCAAAATAATTTTTAAACCACTGAAGGAATATGAGGGACAACATCCATGCAATTTTGAAAGAAAGCTTTAACATTTTGCAAATTCCAGGTAGGTACTATATTATAGCCATGAACAATATTAATAGATGTCAGTGTCTCACAGACTAGTTCTGATTCACAGGCTAAAAAAAAAAGCTGAGAAAATCCTTAGACATGTTAAGCAATGATAAGCATTTCTTCCAAGATAAATGATCAAAAACCTGTAAATGTGGCCATGATGCCTCCAAGGTGGGCTCATCTTCTTCTGGATCAAATTCATTGCTGTCACTAGGTGGGAGAGTTCTGAAGATATTGCAAGATACCTGAAAAGTCAAAGAAAGAATGATGAGATCTGTTTTACAAATAGGTACTAGATTTCAGGACTCTATATGCCTATAGCTACTCTAGCCTCCATCACATAAGCAGTATTTCGCCTGCTGTCTGACAAAGTTCTCTAGCAACAGCACAGGTCTAAGGAACCTGTCACTTTACAAACCTGCCACCAGCCTTGGCTTTTCCTTCTCCAGGTCTTTTTGTTTCTACTTTCCACTGATATCCCAGCATTACCCAATCTGTCACCATTTCTGTCCACCACGGTTTCTGATGAGCCCACCGACACGTAATTCCCAATCCTGCTGGGCGTCACTGGGCTGAGCGCCATGACTGTTTAGAAGTCGTGGGAAATGCCATCGACACGCATTTACAAGTGTTTTCATACAATACTCGGTTATTTTCCTTCACACAGGGAAAATATTAATGATACCTGCTTAAGGTCTCATCTGCCCGCACGTGCTAAGAGTTGCCAGTGCTATTCACACATCATATGCCTGGGCACCTCATGTCAAGTACAGAACTTGGTACTAAATCCAAACAACAAATAGTATTTGCGTGACACTTAGCCTGCATTTCATTTCATGGTTGGTTCGCTTTCCTTAATCTTATTTAGAGGTATTTTGCTGAGACTGCTTGGCTTTGTGAGGTTCACGCTATCAGCACAGACTGAACCGGAGTGCTTTCCTGGGTTAATTATAGTGCTGAATGGAGGGTACAGCTTATTATGCAGCAAATCTGATAAACTGCAAACATGCTGTAGGGCCTTTTCTGCACTTTGAAGGTGATGTTGTGCCTTCCTTGCACTCTGTTACTGCATTTGACCCATCTCTAAGCTGGTTAATCAAACAGCTGGGAAAAGCAGCATGTTATCTCCTAATCCTGTCTATACATGACCCCTTCCTAGTAGTTCAGACAAATTAAGCTATTTAAGAAACAAAATTAGTATGTTCTTCAACATCCTTATTTATTTTTCCAGCCTTTTTACTCCTGTAAATGTTTTAAAGTTGGTCTGTTAAGTATGTTGGCAACCTAGTAAGAAAGGGCCCTTTAAAGCCAAGGCTTAAATACAATCCAAGTACTGATAAAACCAGATTGAAAGCTTCAGAATTAGCAAGACAAACAGAACAGATCCAGGTACTGCATAAACAGAAAGATGAAACAACAGAAAACTGTAGGAAAGCACATGTGGTCCGTACCAATAAAGAATATTTACTGAACACAAGGGAAAGACAAAAGAAGAATAACTAAGGCAAACCAGTGAGCATAGGAAAAAAAGAGCTCCCACTGGTTTCTGCCTGGACTTTTTCCTTTTGCCACAAGAGGGTGTGTTTCACTACAATTACAGTATAAGACACTCTTACAGAAGCCTTCACTGTGTATCTCGCATCATCAAGTCGCAGGGCTTCCAACCTTAACAGATACAGCACTTGCTATAGCCTGTGCTGAGACACTGAACTCGACTTGCCAAGTGATTACTGGCACTTATTAGGAGATATCCTTTTTCTTCCTCCTCCATCCTCTTCCCCTGACTCATTCACTTCTCTCAAGAGCCCTTCCATGAAAAGATTTTTCTAGTCTCCTGAGAAGTAGTCAAATAACTATTCCAGGAAGCCACACATGTTATAGTTTGTCTTTCCTCCAGGATTCCCGAGCTCCTCCTTCTACTATCACTGATACAAAAAAGCAGGGAGAGAAGGAGAGCAAAGGAGAGCGATCAGAATTGGCAGGACGAGAGTTGTTTCCGTGTTAGAGCACAGGGCAAAAGAGGGTAAATGGCCCAAAGGATTCTCAAGTAAAAAGTGGGAAATGTACCTATTGGTGCCTTGGATTCGAACATCTGGGATTCTGCAATACTTACTGAAACATTTTTGGTTAACACTTTGCATTCAAAAATCCCAGCTTTCTCAGGATTTGGACTAAAATAGGGAACTAGTAAAACCAAAGGCATTTCACAGCTGTTTTTTTTTTCTGCTTTAAACCCCTCATTTGAAACAAGAAAGAAATTTTTCTGCAAATTTAACCATACATAAATTAATGAAACTTGTACCAACAAATCAGAGAAAACGTAAGTATTCATCAGCTGTTGTGTTTAGAAACTGGAGCAACTAATGAATTATGGCACAAGCAAAAGCTGCGAGGAAAAGTACATACTTTCAGAACGAAAAGCTAAACTAAGACGAATTCCTGGAAGATTTAAGCTAAGTCAAATCAAACCTCAAGCAGTTAGTGCCAGGGCCTTCACAGCATGACAGAAGTATGAAGGGTTCAG